CTATTACTTTAATTATATTGCGATTTATTAAATATAATTTTTCTTAATATTGGAAATAAAAAAATTAATAAATTTTATGACAAATTTTTATTCAGTTGGCGTAATATTTTTTTATATCTATTTTTCTATGAAATTAAAACAACTACTTTGTATAACAATTTTTTTAGTTAAAATGTTTTTATTTGAATAATAATAAAAGAGATAAATTTTATAGCATAAATTTTTATTCATTTGGCGCAATTTTTTGATATCATTATTTTTCTAGGAAATTTAAACAACTATTTTATACAATTTAACACTGTTTTGTACAGAGTTAAAATAATATTATTTTGTAGAGCAGTTTTTTACAGTAATTTAAAAGCATTTTTTTGTATAACACTTTTCCACATGCACTTTCGCGTGCACTTAGCGCCTTTTTTACCTTTTTTTAAAAAGGTAAGTTTATAGGGATTATATCATTCCTTTTTGTGTAGTATATGTTAAACATCTTTAAATTAATAAGCAAAGAACCCGCCACCACCCCCGTCATATTTCATCAAAATACGACGGTCCCCTTTTCTTTGCTTACTATAGATATCCAAATCCTTCAAACTTCTTTGCTACTCTTATTGTAAGAAAAACGGATAATTACAAATCAATGTGTCATTAGAAATATAATCAAGGTTAAAGAGGCAATAAGAGCCAACGCAATAGTTAACGCGTAACACAACTTTTATTAAATGATATAAAGGAATGTAAACATTCAATAAACGATAAGGGCAATAAACGAATGTTTCGGTTCCTTTTTTTGGAACCATCTTCAGCGCAAGATATAAGAAAATAAATTAATAGCTAATGATCTATAAACCGTCACGTATCATTGTCAAGCGAGTAAATGATTATATAATAGTAATAGTAAATGATTATATAATAGTTATGAATGTCAACACATCATGTGTCTATGTATAAAATAGTTACTGTCCCGATTCGGCGCTCCGATCTTAGTGTCACGATGTAATGGTCTCGGGATTTCTCTGTATCGTATCTTGAAAGTACTACTGTTCCAAAATTGATAGACCCGGAAGTAAAAATCAAAATTTTTAAGCTATGAAAATTACCTATAAAATATCGAACGGAAATGACTGTAATAGATAATTAAAATTATAATTACGGAGAATAAGATAATTAAGAAATTAAATAAACTTACGATAATGTGAGAAACAAGATTTGTGAGAAAACGATGTGTTAGATATTGTGGCGAGCGATTAAAGAGCGATACTTATCTAGACCGAAATTCGAGAGACAATGACATAAGGCGCGATCAAAACAAAGGTATAGCGCAAAAACAGACAATAACAGCTGCTTCCAATATGTATACAAATCAAACGTCAACAAACCGACAAGTACAGGCACAAAATAAAATTAAGAAATGCAAGACAACGGAAAATATGTCAGATATAATTCAAATTGTAGGAAGTTTATTTAACGCTGTCACATATGCATGATGCAAGCATTCAGTATCAGTCTTAAGGTTTAAGCTGTTCCTCTGTCTCTTTATGTATAACATTTCTAAGATCAAGCGTTTGCTAAGGAAGGGTTCATTATCCAATATTTCTACATGATTCCAATCAAAATCATGTTCCGATTCTAATCTGTGATTGGTGATAACGGACAGGTTCGATGTCGATCTATGAATGTGTTTTCGGTGTTCGTTAATTCTCGTCTGTAATTTTCTACTTGTCTGCCCAACATAAGAAGCATCGCAAAAGTTACAGTTAATTTTGTATACAACATTAGTAGCCGATGCTTTCGTGAGACTATTTTTATGCACTTTGATGAACCGAGATAGTTTATTCAAGCCGCAATACGATAATCTCACATCAAGGTCCTTTGTTATAATTTTGAAATTTTCTAATATTAAAGGGACATATGGAATGGTGAAATATGAGAAATTTTCATCTTTCTTTTTTATCAGTGATACAGATTTTTTAAAATTGGGGTCCGCTATCAAACACCAAAGCCGATCATGTATTGTTTTAAAGATGAAATCCAACGGGTAGTTGTTATAAATCAGGATTTCAATAATAAATGTAATGTTTTTTTGATGGAATGACGGGTGTGACAATAAAAACGCTCTGTCTATTAATCCTATGATTGTGCCTCTCTTTTGGCATAACGGGTATTGAGATAGGAAATTAAGATATCTGCCCGAGAAGGTTGTCTTGTGATATCATTCAAAGTATAAGTAGTTGTTCTGAAGTATGATTGAGACATCTAAAAAATCAATTTTGTTATTTTCCCCGATTTCCATGATGAATTGTATTCTTGGATGGAAGGAATTGAAGACATTCAAAGTGTGCGCCCAGGAACGGTCAGTGCCACATCATCCACGTATCTGATGTAAAAAGAGAGAGTAAACATCAACATGGATAAAGCTCTCTCCTCTATATCTTGTAAAACGATATCTGCAATAATAGGAGACAACGGAGACCCCATAGGAGTACCAAAAGTCTGTTGATAAAAAACACCATTGAAAGTGAAGTAAATAGAGTTAAGGACAAATCTGACTGCCATAATAAACTCGTCATGAGGTAACTGACAATTATTCTAGATGAAGTTCCATCTGTGGCATACGCTGTCAATAGCGAGGTTAATGGGTATGTTAGTAAAAAGTGACATTACGTCTAATGATATAAGAGTGAAATTATCTTTAACAAAGACATTAGAAAGTTTAACAACTAGTTGAAAGCTGTTTGTA